GGCGCGGGGCAAAGTTTAATAAATAAAATTTCGCACCGCGGGGGCGCGAAGCGAGATTTAAGAAATAAAACGGCGGAGTCGCGGGACGAAAAACGCTAATTAGCGGGGTTGCGGGGCGTAGTTTACTACATAAAACTTCGTCGCGTGCCCCCGGTTATAAGCGTGTTTTTGTCCCGCGAGCCGCCAAGCGAAAAGTCTATAATTAAGATGAAAAATTAAAAAGGGCCCGGGGGCGGCAGGGAAACACGTTTTGGTTTAAACATATTTTTTTTTTCGATTATTTAAAATTTTTGAAGTAAAAAATTTAATAAAAAACCTCCCCTCAAAAATAAAATTGCTATTTTTTACTTTTTTAAATTTTGATGAAGATGTTTGGGGTAAATGCCCAAATGATTTTTTTTTCAATGCATTTTATGGGCCCTTTACTATGACCGTTTTGCTTTTTTTCAAATAACAGAAAAAAAATTTTCTTTTCAATTCTAAATTTTTGGAACCCAGAAAGCAAAGGCAAATTGACGCGTTCCCTAAAAAATTGGGCAAAGGAGAAAATAATTTGAAAAATTTCCTCCCGTGTGTTTAGCAATGCAAATGTATTTAGCTTTTAATTGACTGTCATGACTTCAGGTACTTTTATTTTGCCGAAATGGCCTTTTTTTGGGCTGCTTTCTGGCCTTTTGTTTTTGCAGAGAAATTTGCACATGGAGAGATTATGTTTTTCAGACGCTTTAGAATTTAACAATCAGAAAAATTAATACCCCGAACAATAATATAAAGCATTGTTTTTTGGATCTGAACCGATTCAACGGGTCACGGTTCGATCACGATCAAACTAAGAATTGAATTTGTTTTTTTTATGAATAGTTTGCCCCGCCTTTCTCGGGGTTTTTTTATTTCTATTTTCTAGTAACTTTGAATGTTTTTAATACAGACTCCCATGCGTTTTTTCTCGTTTTCGTAGATGACCACGCAAAAGTATTTGTGTTAACGAGCATGCTTATTGTAATTCACTTGAATTTATTGACCTGTTGAAAAGATAGAGAAAATCCGTGATTGTTTACCAAACATACATGTGATATACAAAAATGAAATGGGATGAAATTTTGTAATGGAAGTTGTGGAGATGAAGAATGATAATTAAATGGTTTTGTCAAGAAAAGAAAAGAAAGAAAAAAGAGAGAATGAAAGAAGAAGAAAATAAAATGAATTTATAACTGAAAGTTGTAGAAATGTCTAAAAAATAATAATAAAATAATAAATAAATAGGGTCAATGGAACTCAAGTATACCAGTATGCTTTTATTTGTTTTTATTTAAATTTTTTTCAGATATTTCAATATTTGGCATATTGAAAGATCTTCATCATTTCTCTGAAAGAAATCCGAATTTAAATGATCTAGCAGATAAAATTAACGAGATAGTGCTTCAAAGTAAATCTGACAATACCAGGAAACAATATTCGTCTTACTTCAAGAAATGGATTGCATGGTGCAACCCAGATTGAAAATAGCTAAAAATAATCCCGCCTTAATGGGACGCTTATCGCATGATATTAAAGGACTCAAAAAATCTATGTGTGTCAAAAACGGTTATGCTGCAAAAAAGTTGTGCGGTTCACCAGTAGATAAGAAAAAAGCTTTGACATCTGAAGATTATTACAAAAAATGTTTCCAATCTTTCCGCCTGACGTTGTAGATTTGTAACAAATTAAGGGACATTAACTTTTTGTTGTAATAGGTTTTGCCGGATTCATCAGCATTTTCAAGAATTAAGAAATTTGAAATGTTCTGACGTAACATTCAAAGAAGGATCATCTAAGATCAGACAAACAAAAGGACAAGAATGTCCTCATCGCGAAAACAGGAAAAGTAACCAAGTCCTTATAATACTCTAAGCCTTTTATTTTCTAAAAAACGGGAACATTTAAAAAGCAATGATTTAAATTTTTATTGGCGGGGACAATTTCTTTTACAACGCAAGAACAAAAAATACACATATGTTTAGAAAATAACTTTTTTTTAGAATTTTTCCGGGAAAATACTGTCAGAATTAGGTTTGAATCCTGAATTTATATGGCACACCACAGTTTTAAGACGCGGTGGTGCTACCGCCAGGCGTTATACCATGGCATTTTCAGGACAGATTATTTAAAAAGCACGGAAGGTGGCAAAGGGTGATAAAGGGCAAAAGGACGGTTATTGACAGTTGCCGAAAACTAATTCCCAGAAAGAATATCAGTTTCCTCAAAAACTTAAAGGAAATTTTAAAAATCTTTTGAAAATTACTATATTATCTTTCAAACATTAAAAGAATTGGGAATTTGCCTTGGTCGTTTTATATTATTCTTCAATTATCGGAAAACCCCTAACTTTTTAATCTTGTTTAAAGGATTTTATCAAGACTTATCAATTTTTTTACATTTTTAAATATTTTGATTATTTCTTTTTGAATTCCCCCTTGCTTTAAAATTTTTTCGACGGCTTTAACGGCATGCCCTCTAAAACCTTGTTTTATGTTATCATAAACTTAGAAATCGTTTTATATTAAAATAGCTTTTAAAACAAATATAGAAAAGATGATTTTATAGCTTTTTTGGCGAAGAATTGCCATAAAAAAGGCAATGGAAAAGATACTTGTTTAAAAGAATATACGATCCGGACCTGATACAGGATCATTTTTGGGAAGAAGATGTGGAAATATTTCTATTAGCAAATGGAAAGTCAACTTATTTGCTGTTGAAATAGTTCTTATAAAAACAAAAGAAATTTTATAATACGAAATCGAGATTAATTATCATTTTGAAAAAAATATCAGAACAGGTGATAATGCATTTTAGTGTTCAACATATGCTTTATCCGATTTGCATGTGATGCAAACAGAAAAATTTAAGTCATATAACTAGATTTTCAATAATATATATTTTTTTCAAAATCTTGAGAAGTTAAGACGGGTTGTTTGGAAGAGATATAAGGTATAACACTCATTTTATCCGCTTCTTTGCAAAACATTGTACTTTTAATAATGCGGGCTACACAATTTTTTTCTTCTCAAAATCCATAAACATTGATCGGTATAATTAAAAGTTATATAAATTACCAATTTTATAAGCGTAACTGATTACACGCCCGGCAAACTGTCGCTCCACTTCAAAATTGTGGTGTACGGTAAAACGAGCGAACGGCATTTCCGAGATAGAGCGGAAGGCCGATTTAAACGCCTAATTGTAAGTATTGTTTATGTTTTTGTCTTGTTATTCATTTAAGTTGTATTTTTTCGAAAAACGGAAAATGTGGTTCCGTGTAGGATTGATTTAGGCTTCAATTATCTTAGCTGTTTACACAAAAAGAAAATTACAACCAACAAGCCCCGGGAGAAAATTTTTAACCGGAGATCTCCCTGACGAGCGAACGATGATTTGTAAGAATATTGAACTTCCCAACCTATAGAAATTGCCACACCTTTCGGATTTCTTGAAAAGTGTATTAGCTAAATTATCAACCGTAATAAGAAAATTGTCCTTCGTGCAAAAATAAATTACTCCTGAAGGATTTCTTGAATTTGTTAAACGCATATTTTTCGAAAGTAGTGGAGCGAAAGGGAGCAAGAGAATGGAGCAAAAGGTTCGATGTTGAGCGCAAGGCGATATTAATTTGACGTATTAGGAGGAGCGTAGTCTATGATTTTTTTACATAAAAAAGCTATAGAAGTTTAATAGACGTGATCAAGTGTTCAGACCGATATATATATATATACATTTTGAAGACAACTAATAAAAGTGTGATACCTTTCAACGACTATAGCGTAATAAATGTAATCGCGAAGGTGTCACCTATGGTTCCGTGTAGATTCCTCCATAAATGTTCGAAATTTTTGGATGAGGCCCCGACCATTGAATCATACACATGTATGCATGGTATAAATACAGGAGGTCACTTATTCAAAGTCATCAATGATTTTTGACACGGTGAATGTATTTAAAACGTGTGTCCGTGCAAATGCGACAAAGTCAAATATTTTTTAGTTCTACCCTACGCAGAATGCCGCATGCGCGAAATGCAACATTCCGTTGCTATGGGAAAAATCGCTATTGTAAAAAGGTCAATACATTCCCAACATACCAAAGACTTTTTATTAAAGAGTAACTTATTTAACACATACATACATTTTACACAATAATAATAATCAATAAACAGAAATGTTTGATCTGAATTTTTAATTTGTTGCTGCTGATTTTCTTAAAGGGACTCCCACTGAAGTTTTTTGACATGACGGAACTAGAAATGTTTCTTTTTCCGACTTTTTGTGTTACCATTTGATTATGTCTTGGACAATATAACATTGATGAGTGTAGGACATGAAAAGCCCCCCGGACGCAAGCCCCCTCCCCCCCCCGTTTAAAAATACAAGGTGGACAAAAAGCCCCCCCATATGAAATTTACACATAGGACAAAGGCCCCCCCCCCCATAAAAAAAAGTAAAGGTAGGACAGAAGCCCCCCCCCCATGGTCAAATCAAATTTAACATATAGTGTATTAAAGTTGTGTTTTTTTATGTGTTTAAAAAATTGTATGGACATCACATGTAGTTGGACATAAGCTAAGGGGATATAAAAATTTGATCCCTTTAAAATTTTTACCAAATTGATTATTAAACATTACTACTCTTTGACTAGCCTTGTTGTGTATTACTGAAAAGCTACATGAATTAGTATCGCATGCATGGCATTGTTTCATCTGTTATCAATTATACTTTGTTTCACTTTCAATATAATATATTACTAAATACTAACAATTAAAACAAATTTTTTCATTTTTATTTAAAAGTTTGTGTGAAATTTTTGATGAATTTGAGCACACTGTGCATGTAAAAAAGATGGGGGGGGCTTTTGTCACTATCTGTTTTTTTGATGGGGGGGGGGGCTTTTTGTCCTATGTGTAAATTTCATGGGGGGGGGGGGCTTTTTGTCCACCTTTGTATTTTTAGATGGGGGGCTTTCGTCGGGGGGGGGGCTTTTTTGTCCGTATCCCATAACTTGTGTGCAAAGTTTCAGATTTTTCCATCATTCTGTTTTTCCAGAATTATTTTCATGTGAGTGTGAAGATGACTCAAAAATTAAAAACGCTGCAACGCTTTTCACCCACGTCAAGTGAGAAATCACTAAGAAAATCGATATTCAATTTAATTCATAGTATATTTCTTAATTATTTTCGCTGATTTTTTATTTCAAGTGCTTCACCTGATCTATGTAAGAATTTCAAATTTTATGTTCTAAGACTTTTTGACTTAATGGAGTTCCTTTAACTGTCGTTGTATTAAAGTTTCAAACATAACAAATATCAATTTGATATAAATATTATACATGCCATAATATTATACAGTTATCAACTTGAAACATACCAATAATTTACAAAATTGTCGGCACGGTTCTTGTCACTCCAAGAACAAAATCACAAAATATAAATCATTGAGATGTTCAATTTGTCACCTTCATTTATTTGTTCGTCGTTCGTTTGTCCATTCATTCTTTTTATGCATTCATTCACTGTACATAGCACAGTCTTCCGATAAATATTTAAACACCCCTGTTGGCGTTAGTCGGATTTTTGCGGCTTTATCCCTTATTTGCGACTGCTTTAAATTTGAACATTCATTGCAGATGTGAAACTTCGAAATAGCTCTTCACTTTTCTGTATCATGTATCGCCGCTTTTCAAATAAGGAGTTTTTATAATACTGCACGTTTGTAACGTCGCTTTTCATTGGATAATCGTGACGGCTGCTGTCGATTTATAGAGAAATCTTACTTTTTTGCTCTAAAAATGATGATTGCTGTATTGTAAATTCGTTATAAATATTTCTGACAGGTTATATGGCCGTATATAAACGGTTGTTTGCAATATAACCCTCGCCTAACGGCTCGGGTTATATTTCCAAACAACCGTTTATATAGGGCCATATAACCTGTCAAAAATCTTTATAACTAATAATATATACGGAACGTTATATACAGTGTATTCAGATCGACCCACTGTAGAGCAATAGTCTCTGTATAATTAGAGTATTAATTTTTCCGAAACTATGACTTCACAATGCATTTAACATCATTACCTAGAACAAAATATCCCAGCAACAACCAAACTATTTGTCTCGTTAATGTTTGCTGTGTACAGGTTACACTGTATTTATTTTGTTTCGATATTGCGAGTTTTCAGTACATTATATTGCACTTTGGATCGTTTTCTATCATCTGTGCCACAAGCTAAGTTATTTATATATTCTATTTACATAAAGCTGAATAGCAGGGAACCAGAAAAGATGACTGAATGTCCCTTTTCATACTTAGGCACATATTTCACGGGAGTGAGTGGAAAACAATACTTAAGTAATATAACTCTTTATGTGCATATTTATAAACAAATACGTGCATTTAATAGAACAGACGCATTTCTGCTTTATAATAATATATACATAAGTACACGCATAAGAACACGAAATATATCTTTCCGTTCAAGTTTTAAAGTTGAACAGCGCTTGCCCGCTTGTCTGGATTAAAGTGATACGTCTTCATTTCCAAAGTGTTCGTATTAGCCGAATTCGATATAGACAGCCGGGTTTGAAAAGACTGTGTAGGAATGGAATGAGCATCTGAAGGGGTACGTGCGAGACTGGTTGTGTCACTCACTACATCTCCGAGACACCTAGCTGTCCCTGAACCCCAAATTTCCGAAGCAGATCAAATAGTAAAAGTTGTACAGGAGCGAATGTGCGCTGTAGCCCTCTCCGGAATTTTCTGTTCTTTATCAAATAAATCCAGAAATTTGCATGGAAGCTTAGAACAAGAAGAATTTCATACGCACAAATTATAGCACGGCTTGTCTTTAATTCTAATATATTCTGTTTTGAATGGGTAAGGCTGACTTGGACCAAAAGAAATATTCCGTAGGGTATTTCCGGGATAAGGAACACTATGACAACAGCAATTACAATGCATGAAATTCTTTTGCTTTCCTGGTTGCGCCTTAGAAGGTTTGCTTTATTTGAAATCATTTGCGAATCCCTCATTTTCTTCGTAGCGTCATGCATCATCATTACCATAGCAACAGTGAAAATTATGAGCAATAAACAAGGAAGAAAATGCATCAAAATAATTGTCAGCCAAAAGTAGGCGCATGATTCTTTACATGGATCTTCAACTTTCCAAGCACAGTAGTTCCCATCTTCTGCTTCAATTGCCTTTTTATCAAAAGCATGATAGATGTGTACAAATGGCGAAAGAAACACCACAGCAAGGATAATGAACAACGTGTTCCGAATTGTGAATATCCTTTGCGCGCGAAATGGAAACGAGACTGAAATTAACCTCTGGAATCCAAGAACTACTGTCAGCCATATTGACATCGTATGGAACCCGCGGTTTATGAAATATCTGGTAAGAAGAAATGCCTCACACCAGTGTTTAGATAATGCCAAATCCCCTTCCTTGTAGTGCTGGTACGCATGGATTGTCACCGGAAGTGTAACTAAACCAGTGAGCGAGTCCGAGATAGCGAGAGCTATAAGAATTGTATTTGTCGCATTGCGCATGTTCCTCCGCCGAAGGACAACCATCACCAGAATGTTGGCCAGAGTTGTCACAATGATAAGAACTACCCAGATATACAGAAAGACAGGTCGCTCAAAATCGAACCCCATGTAATAGTGTATATTGGAATGCTTCATCCCGTCGTAGCCATATCCGTAATAATAATATCCGTCATAGAAATAATCGTCATCGGGGGACACGGGTGTAGTACCGGTAAGTCCATCAGTAAAGTTATTATCAATATTGCCAGTACCCTGGTCCTCGTCATAATAATTGGAATATAAATCGTCATATACGTGACTTCCGCTTGCCGTGCCTGAATTTTCGACAGTGTCGTTCATTTTTCCGTTTGCCTATAAAGAATGATAAAGTTAAGATTTAGATTTTTTTTAAAGAAAATGTGCGTAAAGTCAACAGCGTAATTACAATATTTGCATTTCTCATAACTGGAAGAACTGGTGATATTTCTATATTATTATATACATTATTTTGGCTGCATGTGCACTTTGTATATGAATATGCAGGAATATACAGGAATATGACATGTCATGTATGACGTACGTCCCAGTGCCATTAACCCTTCGTAAAAAAACTTCGCCGCTGAATGTAGTTCAAAATGCCTTTGCAGAGTAAAAAATACACTAAAGTTCAGCTGTCCTTGAACTTTCATCTCAATATATCATTCCCTATGATACACGCACATAAACTTGAATTTAATTGATATACTTTGAAGCAAAAGAGCACGAAACATAAACCCCTCTTTAGCAAGATGCGAGTGACTGTCATCCACGCGCCTCTAAGCGCTGAAGGTTCGAATCCCAAGAGGGACTTTTGGACCTTTCATGTATGGCTTTCGTATGTAGGTCTAAGACCGCTGATTTTACCAAGATCAATTTTGTGAAAGTAAAAATAAAATCATATAAAAGGAAGAAATAAAAAACTGAATATAACAAGAAGCATAGAATTAAGAGTATATTGTTTACCAATCAGGTTCATATAAAAAGGAGAAATAAAAAACTGAAGATAGCACGAAGTATAGAATTAAGTATATTTGTTTACCAATCAGGTATTTGTTTTCATTAACGTTTTTTTTTTCGAGTAAATTTGTGAATTTCAAAATCATTTCTTTTCTTTGGTACGAGCTCCTTTATTAGATGGATATCCCGGGAAACGTACACTTTGCATAAGTTGTATTACGTGTTATCAGGAGGATTAAAAGAAGTCGAAAGTTACCTAAAGTCGATCAATCAAGGGTGACAACAGTGTCCACTCTTTTATCAGGTAAAGACACGAAAGTAACGTCCCTTGCTAAATTTGTTGTAATCATATACTTTTCTTTTGTTCTTTCTGTTAATTCTTAGTCAGTTGCTTTTGTTGTTGCATGTAACGTATCGTAAAAATGCATTTAGAATAATAAAGAAGAAAATAAAGGAGGAAAATTAATCTTGGTCAATTCTAAAGTGCCCGATTGGACACAATACTTCTAAAAATGTCAAGATTTCTTGAACATCTGTCTTAATCTTAAACCATTTCCACAAGAATAAAAAATGCATTTACCGGCAAGTCTCAAAAAGTTGAGACCTGATGGTAGTAAACGAAATTTATTTAATAATTAAGACCGATACCCAACTTGCGTTGAAATGTCAAAAGGTTTCTATTGACCGTTTGCAGGACGGTATAGGCCGTGAGATAGGGATCTGACCTCCATGCAAGTGTCTGAGGCAAAACGTGCCCTGATCCCTTGTTACAACCATTATAAAGAAGAGAATGCGTTAAAACGCCTCCGACTATTAAAACTGCGTTTAGAATAAATGTGAAATAGGATTTTCTATCTCAGTTTAAGTACATCACTAATGATAATCTCCAACTTGAACCTTCACATCCTTTTTTGTTTTCTCCAAAATTTGAGCACTAATGGAAATAAAACATCTTTCAACAAATAATTTTCATACATTACTATGCTGTTAAGTGATACTTTGGTAAAATAAAGTTCAATTGTTCAGAATATGTGCAATGTATATCAAGTTTACGAAAATACATTTTTATCTATTACTTTTCAACGGGGCTTAAGCCAACAAACATATCTATATTAAAATGTACACGTGAAAGGTCAGATTATTTTGTTGTGTTTAACGGCCACGCAATATACTAACCTTATAGGCTCTGATTTAATTTTAGTCAAAAAAGAAAGAAAGAAAGAAAGAAAGAAAGAAAGAAAGAAACAACATAAACTTTTCATATTTTACATAGATCAAAAATCTTGGAAAATCTGCAAAGGATATTTAAGAAATATATACCTAGAATTATATTGAAAATCGACAGTTAGGGCAATTCCTTGCCCGACTTAAATGAAAAGCGCTGCGCAACGCTTTTTATTGCACAATAAAAAATTTATATTTGAAAAACGGCGCAAAGGAATGCTCTGAAAATGTTCACAAATGTTATTGACACATCTCGGAAAAAAATATTTCAAGTCCCGTCAAAATAAAAATAACCAAGTGGCGTCCCTTTAAATTATACCCTTTTCTGAAAAATGAATAAAATAATTTGGATATTACAAAAACGTACATAATGTTTTTTACTCGTAGAATGATGCTACGAATCAATGTCTTACCTTAGAACAAGAATGCTTATATTCGCACGTATTTCACAGATACTTGACGGCAATGATCGAATAATTTTATATATATATATATATACAAAGCATGATAGAAACGTGAAACGTCACATGTGGGATAAAGTTCGAGGAGCACGGACAATACAAAATGGGTGGTGGTGTTTGTAGTTTCCATTCCTGATCACGACAGGAAGTCATTCCGGATATCGTATATGGGTCATGTAGGCGATTTGAATTAATTTGTAAGCTTTCATATACATGTATCTAAAAAATGTGTTTTATACGTAATATGAATATATTACATGAATAACTAATATACATAATGATATAGCATCTGGACACGCATGAACTGATCTGTACGGTGGTACAAAGGTGACATGTGTGTGTTTTTTATTTATCTCGTGCGCACGAGATACTATGCCGTGGTCACGAGTTACTTAGTCGTGGCCACGAGATAAATAAGTCGTGGGAACGAGATACTATATCGTGGCCACGAAATACTAAATCGTGGGCACGAGATACTATGTCGTGGACATGGGGTAATCAAGTCGTTGGCACGAGATACTATGTCTAGACATGTGCTATAGTACAAGAATGTCCCTACTCCACCTGCCTTAAAAGTGTCATTTATACAAGTTATTGATTGGTCAATGATTTTACATTTAGCGTCATTGTGACCCTGATTTTTCACCCAATGACATCATTTTTTACGTGTCATTTACTGATTAGGTGCAATGATCTTTCTAGGTTAAATAAACCATGGCTTATGCCTTCTAAATTATTCATCACACAAGGAGCTTACATGGAGTGTCATGGTTACCTTGACCCTTGACCTTAAACATCCTTAAAGGGTAACTACTGTCCTTGTCCCTATAACAAATTAAATAAACAAGGACTTGTTCCTTATCAAGTTATTGTATAAACAAGGTTATTAGGCCGTTGTACGTACACACTAACCAATTCTATCACATAATTGTCTCCACAAAGGGCTATAACTTAGTAAAAAATAATGTCTGATTTATGGGCCTTGAAAGGGGATTTATTAATATGATCCTAAAGACATGTATCAAGTTTAAAGTGAGTATCTTCAGTATTTTTTAAAGATTAATGTTGCATGTAAAACTTTAAACAGAAATGTTTCTAAGTTTAAAAAAATCATAAACATATATATACTGTAGTGTAATCTGAATGGTTAACTGTCTCGTGCGCACGACTGAGTTATCTCGTTCCCAGGACTTAGTAATTCGTGGCCGCGGCATTGTATCTCGTGCGCACCACTTAATTATCTCGTGTCCACGACTAAGTAACTCGTGGTCACGACATAGTATCTCGTGCGCACACTTAAATATCTCGTGGTCACGACTTAGTAACTTTTGGTCACATCATATATACACGGTGCATATCCATATCGGTACCCTCTTTGCAAAATCTGCTGAAACGGTACCCTCTTTGCACATGCACAGGCCACTCTCTGCTAAAAACAAACCTGCGATGGATAACCATACAGTAAAATGTCAATATAATAAGGAAAGAAGGTATGACACGTAGAAAAGATGTATACCACGGAACACTAGAATGTTTTATCTATGTGCTGATTTGTCATGTGCCCGTTTTTCATGTACTACAAATTTACAATAAGCTACAAAAAATCGACATGTCTTGCTTCGCCCATCACCTCGACATATTTTCGGGGCTGAAATTAATGAACCTGTGGCTTGATTATATATGCATCATACATATTCAATATGTTCATTTACATATCATCTTCGGACAAATGGCAGTACATTGTCAAAAATAAATGTAAAATTCATAAAAACACCCTACTTTCGGTTTTGCAGCGGCACGGACTACCTCTCTTCATTTGAATTACCCTCTTTTAAACACACATAGGTAGCCTCAAGGCACGACATATGCTTTTATTTGCGTTAATCGTTAGGTATGTAATATTTCTTAGTTTTATGTAAATATTTCATACTTAACGATTAACGCTAATAAAAGAATATGTCGTGCATTGAGTGTACCTACGTGTGTTTAAAAATGAGAGGGTACCTGTGATATAAAAATTCAAATGAAGAGAGGTAGCCCGTGCCGCTGCAAAACCGAAAGTAGGGTGTTTTTATGAATTTTACATTTATTTTTTGACAATGTACTGCCATTTGTCCGAAGATGATATGTAAATGAACATAGTAAATATGTATGATGCATATATAATCAGGCCACAGGTTCATTTCAGCCCGAAAAGTATGTCGAGGTGATGGGCGAGGAAAGACATGTCGATTTTTTGTAGCTTATTGTGAAGTTGCAGTACATGAAAAACGGGCACATGACAAATCAGCACATAGATAAAACATTCTAGTGTTCCGTGACGAGTATACATCTTTTCCAAGTGTCAAACCTCCTTTCCTTATTACAATGAATTTTTACTGGCTTGTTATCCATCGCTGGTTTGTTTTGAGCAGAGAGTGGCCTGTGCAAGTACAAAGAGGGTACCGTTTCAGCAGATTTCGCAAAGAGGGTACCGATATGGATATGCACCGTGATATATAGTAACTATCTCGTGCGCACCACTTAATTACCTCGTGGCCACGACTTAGTAACTCATAGCCACGACTTAGACTTAGTAACTCGTGGCCACGACAACGCACGAGATAAATAAAGATATACACATGCCACATCTGTGCCACCGTAGATATCATTTGATTGCTGCAAATTAAGTGAAAATTGTAATTACTGCATGCATTTTAGTCTACAGTGTAAATTCGCCGGTTAGGTTTTGGAGCGTCTGTCTACAGGCGAAAGAACTGATTTTTTTACACAAACGATTTGAAAGATGATAAAGTTTCCACATATATTGAATTAAGGTGTTCCTTATTTAAAGTGACATTGTGCTCACTTTTTCATTGTCAAGTTAAACAGAATTGACTATACGAGTATATCAAGATTGAGATTGACCAACAGTAGATGGATAAAAATTGATATTATTAATCTGTCTAAAATATAAAAAGACTGCCCACTCTTTTAATAAATTGAACGTTACAGGTAAATTCTAATGGATATGTACAGAATTTTCATTGGGCCACATGAATATTTATCGTTCATGCGAATTGAATTATAGAATTGAAAGTAATTCTGGCAAAATCACCAGTACACTCGCTATATACCCTTGGATGGGAAAGTTTTCTGAGTTTCTAAGATTTTGAACTCTTCCTGGAAAGATATTTCTTTGTTTTCATATCCCCTTTTAAAGGATGTCATAAATTAAAGAGGATCTAATTGGTTATAAATACAATAATGCTAATTTCCATAATTTAGGCCTACTGTAAATAACGTTCATGTATATCAAATGTTCTACCGATTGGAATTTTATTAATTTCTGTGTATGGTGTTACACTTAAAATAATTGTATTTACTGAGAACGTTAAGTGAAATTATTTTCTAGTCAAATCAATGCGACTAGTCCAGCACATTTGTGCTACGTACGTACGTCATTTCCAGGTTAATTAAAACTAAATTATATAGAAATCTACTTTAACATAAAATTGTTGCTCATGACCGAAGAAACATAAACGCCATTCATTTAATACTACATAGCATGCATCACATGTCTCCACCCTGTACTCCCCTTCACTGAGAAGTCACTGCTCATCCCCCGGAAAAATTAGCAAGATCCACCACAGCATCGGATCTGAGGCGACCTCGTTGACTAATTTCTACCCAGTGACCTAGATTACTCCAATGAAAGTCGGCCAACTGTCACGTTTGTCTCGTACATGTCCGTAAGCATACTCGGCTTTATTCGGTCATTACAAATCAATGCTTAATCCATATTACGGAAATTCCCGAACGTTGTCGGAAAAACGGCATGGTTAGACATGCTGCAGTGCGAGAACAAAGGGAAAGAAGAACTAACGTCCAGTGACACGAGGGAAAGAATTCCGCCTTTTTGTACCATCAAGGGCCATGTCCGACTCCGAAAACCAACCGGAGAAGCAGGTGGCGGTTGAGAAGAAAATAATAGGTAAGGTCTTGTTTTAATCAGATCGCTTTGAGTGCTAAAATCTTAAGTTAAAATTATGGAAATTTTCACCGCGTGGTCTGTCATGGCGTCGGGTGCCTCGATTTATTAGCCCTTGAGCAAAAGTTCTACTTGTAGAAGGGATCATTTTGCTTCCTTTCCAACAGGAAAAATAACAACAAAAAAAACTAAATTAAAATTATGCAGTGATTAAAGAAAATATGTGTAAACTTGAATTTTCAAATCCAAACTACGTATAACTTGGCGTGAGAAATATTTCTTATACCCCACCCACTTTGCCGGCTGAAAGAATATTGATAAGTTTAACAGAGCTTTTAATTTACTTGAAAGTCTTGTATAGTCTTTTAAGATATTTTGGTGTATGTTTAGCAGCCGAACTCGATTTTTTAATTTTATTACATGCATGCAGGGCTGTAATTTTTCTCCAAAATTGAGGGCTAGGCTGCTTCCCCAACCTTAGTCCAATATATTAGACGTTACAGGCTTGTTATAGTTTGTCGGTCAAGCCTGACGTCCAATAGTTATTGCTCAAAAACGCATACTGGCTGGGGACCACCAAAACCTGACGGCTACAAAAATGCTTAATTTAGTATTTTCTTTGTTCACCGGTTGTCAGTTACTTTTTATCAACAATAAATGCATGTTTCTTCTAAAATTAATTAAATAAATTTATTTCAACCTCCGTAAATGGTAATATTTTAATGTCTATTTCAAGAATGTTGACATTGAAATTTGGGGGTCAAGAAAGCAATGCCTGGTCAACCTCATTAACCAACTATAATCATTTGCAGAGTAAACAATAGAATATCCAAAACTTCAGCATTTGTTGCTGAAATATTGTATAACATGTTAAAAATCCAAAATTTCGATATGACGTTGCTTTGCCCAGAAGCTAAAATATCTCCAAGCAACGTCATATTTATAGGACAGGGCCTTTTTACCCTTCTTTGCTGTAGCCGGTATTCGGCTACTTCCCCAAGCCAACATACTACCTCTTTTCCCCAAAAAACAGTCTAAAATTCCCCTACTTGCGAAGATTTTCCCTTTCAGATCAAAGAAAAAAACTTGTAAACAAACTTTCTTGCATAATAAAAGATCATTGTTTTTGTCCAATGAAAGCTAATTATTCAATTACCCGCTAGAGGGATACCTTGATTCAATACAATTGATGTTTACTCACTCCTCGGGCTGAAAGCAACATGGGAAAACCCCGCTGCACACGTGATTTATTTACGACAATACGGCGACCGATTTACGATGTCGCAAATGTAAACAATGTCACAGAACCAGACGATTGAGTGACATTTGTAATTGTTTATGAAAAATTGGACAAATTGTTGACCTTCCTGTAAGTCCAAGAGAATCCAATACATGTATCCACTCGCAAGTTCATGTGTCCGAGTAGCACAACATGCCCAAGTGTGGGAAATAGCGAGTCTAGCACAACAGTTCATGTAATAGTGAAACAGGAGGAACTGATAATAATGTTCCCTCTGAATCAAATCAAGAACCCTCACATGTCCTACGTAAATTTTCTATAATTAGGAAAGATGAGTCAATGTATTCTTGGGCAAATATAAAGTGGCAATATTTTGATCTGTAAAAAAATCCCTTTAATAATTATGTTGGGCAGAAAGCTCCTGAAATAAGTATGTTTTAAGGAAAATATGCAAATATATTATGATATTTCCCCCAAATGTGTGATTTAAATAAGTCTTTATTTATAGTAATAATGGTTAAACTGCCAGTGGAAAATATGATTTTTTTTCCCCAAAAGTATGAAAACCGCGCATTTTTTCCCCACAAAAAGGGCTAGGGCGCCTTCCCCAAAACTAGTGAAAAGGCCCTGTAGGACTACCCCAACCTGTGAAAAAAGCCCTGACATGACATGTGAACTCTCCCACTTTTAGATGGAGACTCCCACTTTCTGCAGCCATATTTTCAAAGATTTTGCTTAAAATAAGGGGTATTTTCACAAATTAAAGAAGTCTCCATTTTTTATATCAGAACTTGAATTCTTCTTTGTTTGTTGCAAATTCTAAAATCTCCCTCTTTTTGAAGAAAAATCTCCAACTTTATCATCCAAAAAAATTTGCATGTATGTTATTCAGATGTTAAATAATTCAAAAAATCCTCACACACGCCCATAGTCCCAATATTTCGACTGCAAGACTGACCGACCTAACAAACTGATATATATTTCATAGATTTCAGGCTTTACGTCTCAACCAGTTATATTCAAAATTGTGTCGGAAATCGAATTGATTAAAATTTCATAAATTTAGGCACCATCGTCTGTATGATGAAAAGCCTTAAAGCGCAAAATTTGTTGGGCTTACAGACCCATGACTGCCATTTTATAATAAATCATCTTATCAGTTTATTACTCGCTAATCACAACCCATGGTATTTTTTGTCAAAATTGTGAAGGGGCCTGCGGCTGTTCATTTTGTGAAGAAAGGGCGATTTGTCATAAAATTGTGAAAAAATGACATATTACTTGGCATTTTCCGACATTTTGAAACCGGAAACAGTTGATTATAATTTCTGACCTGTGTAAAATCTGCTTCAGGTAAAACCATTAAACTTGATTAAAACTATTTCTTTGCAGCTGCATTTTGCGTAAATCAAGTTTTATTGTAAGGTAAACAATGTATTTCCCAAAAGTCCCAATATTTTGTGAAATCTCTTTTGAAATTGTGAATTTTTTTCTGTCGCTTTGTGAAAAAAGTGCAGTTTTGAATTGTGAAGTGGCCTTATATCAGCCCCTGTTATAGAAGGAAAAAAATACCCTGCAACTTCCCCACTTTTCAAGTTGTCTTGAAACAGGACAAGAAACATAGCTTGGTAATAGCAGGGTTATCATTATTAACAGATTTGCGATCAATATGAATATTTTGAATTTACCAGTGAAACATCTGGTAATTTAAGCAGAAACATGGGTTTCGATTGGAACTTCCTCAAGCAGCCACGCTAGGAAGTTGATAGTTCACATACAGTTTTAGTGTGACTTAAAACCGAAATAAAGACAAAAGGGTTTGAAGAAGTTGTTACAAAACTGATGATTTCATCAAAAGAAATATTAATGCAAATAAATTTATATAGTTCTTTGATTTCAGCCACCAAAGTCAGCGGAAGTGTAAAATGGTTTAACGTAAAAAGTGGATATGGCTTTATCAATAGGTATGTATATTCTATAAATAGGTATGTATATTCTATAAATAATCTGGAAATTAATAAATTTCTTTCCTTGATATGAAACTTACTGCACATCAAGAATATCTCTTGGATTAAAGTTGGCATAATAAGTAATGTGAATAGGCATGAAACTAGTATAACAGATTCAAATTAACATTAAATAATTAAGCATGCAAAATTAAATATTGATCTGTCCTGTAGTAGATAATTCAGCAGTGTCTATTCTAGGAATTGAAAAATAGGGGTGATTTTCCCCCCTCTATTTCAAAAAAGGGGGCGATTTTCAAAATCAAAGGGTGCCAATATAAACTGCCAATGTTAAATCTTCTGCATTAAGTTTACACTGAGGCGTTCAACCGATGAAATAATTAAAACGATAATATTTATTTAAGGCAGCAGAAGTTGTCCCCCCCCTTAATTTTTAAACGAAAAAAAATTATTACAGAACTGCCGCGATTGATTATAAAGGGATTGGCAATACAAATAATCGAACTATGTTTCACGTCTAGATCGTAGCCAAGCTAGGAATTGCCTCATTTTTCTTGATTATTTACTACACTAAAATGGCGCCCAACTGTCAGACCTAGCACACTAGTTCCGGTCGATACGGAACATTCCGTTATTCTGTCAACTCGCGTAACCAGTACCATACGGTACTAAATTATTATAATTAGCTTACAGTTACCTCCCTTCGGTTTTCGGTGTAAATGTAAACAAAACAACCAAATATAATGCAGGATGGAAGTTTTACGGTTTTATTAACTTTTTTTATAGATGCGCGATTTTCACGCACATGATTTTGAATTGTGCGCGATCTTTTAAATACTAGCGTGAATCGCGCAATCGCGCGTCCTAGAATAGACACTGATTCAGTCACACTTAATACTTAATATAAGGACACACGCTTAAAAGCTTACAGGATGTTCATTTCTTAGTGGTTTTACTATGATATCCTGTTATACCCAAATATGGGCATGACAGCTTTTGTTCGCACCTGTGGTATATGGTGAACAGTAGAGTAAGTATGATACATGTAAACAAAACTAGATTTCTTGTGATTTGATCTTAAAATCTTGCCCTCATTAATTTTTCTTAATCCTGTTTAGAGCTTCTGAAATGATTTAATGGCATGAATTGATGATTGAAGTAACTAATTAGAAATTTGTCTGTGTTTTGTTTGTAGAGATGACACCAAGGAAGATGTTTTTGTACACCAAACAGCCATCATTAAAAACAACCCAAGGAAGTACCTGAGGAGTGTGGGTGATGGTGAAACAGTAGAATTCGATGTAGTAGAAGGAGAGAAAGTAAGTTAGGATTATTACTTGGCTAGATGGTAGGATTTATCATTATTACATTGCCTGAAAGTTCATTTTAGCCACTTCATTTGAGTTGAAGCAAAATTAATCTAATTTTATATGAGACTGGTAAAGGTGTTTTTTGTAAGCCAAACAGAAAAAAAAGCAAATCACTTCACTTTACCTTGTATCAGTGGCTTCATCGGGATTTAGCAGTTACCCTTGCTTTTGCTTGAACTGATATTTGTATGTTTGAATTCAGTGTTTTTTTTTCACTTTTGGGGGAAGGGGGTCGGTGCCCATTGGAGGGGGAAAAATGCAATAGGAGGGGGATTTTTATATGGATCTAAAATATTGATGTGTCACATGATAAACTTGTTGGGATACCAGGAGTAGCTCCCCTTACCTATATGAAAAATCTTGCTTAACAGTAAGTCTTACAGGCATAAAATAAAGCATTTTTCGGCAGTTAGTTGCAAAAAAATGATATTCATTGCAGGCAAATTTGGGCTGCCATATTATAGGGGGAAATTTCAGCTTTGAGGGGGGAAAAAACATACTATTTTGAGGGGGGAATTGGGAGAATTTCGCCGAAAAAAAACACTGGAATTATCATAGCTGCCTGGTCTACAGAGTTGTTCCCTTGTGCCTGAAACAATGCATGAAGAGGCACTTGACGTCATTACTGCCTTCCGCTGGGAAGTCACAATATGAAGTTTACCAGGGTTCGCACAGGCCATGAAAAGTCCTTGAATTTGGTGGTTAGTCCTTGAAAACTCCTTGAATTTTGTCCAGGGAAAAAGTCCTTGAAAACTCCTTGAATTTTACAGGAAACTTGTGAATTTTGTTCAATAATCCACGAATTCCTCATTAAGTACCACAAAACGACTAAAATGAGTAAAACAGCGGCCAAAAAACAAAAGGAAAAAACAAAAGAAAACTCAAATATACATCAATTAAAAAAAAACGACTTTGTAACGAGATAGTAAGACGGTACGGAACGGGTATCGGCTTTTATACACGATTGAAATATTCATGATGTGTAAATTTCACGGACCGGTTTGGGTTATTCATGAAAAAGTGTAATTTCTTGCCAAAATTTGTAGAAAAATACCCTTTCATTAAAGAATTCAAGGGTGATTAAAGAAAGGGGATGTGTAGCGCTTGTGATATGTTTATAGACGTTTCAGGAATGGGTGAAAGCGCTATAAAATCGCACATTAAAGTGAGAAACACGAACAATTCACAACAGCGAGAGAATGTAATCAGGATATACAATGTAACTAGCTTCTTCAGTTTAGGTGCAAGTACTATCTTGAATAAAGATGACAATAACAATAATCTGACAATACCACTCCCACCCTCTGAAGCAACTACTGCAAAATCTTGCACACTTAGAAAAAACTTCATAAATTTGATAGTACTTCAACAGGTATTTGCATGTAAAACACTAATTTCATACATTGTCGCCCTTTTACACATATTTGTCTTTAGTGTTTCACATATTTTAGTCCTTGAAATACTTGAAAAAGTCCTTGAAACGTCCTTGAAAACTCTTTGAATTTTGTCCTGGATGGTCTGTATGAACCCTGGTTTACAATGTCTTTGTGACTGACCATTCACCTAAACAAAAACTTCCAACTTGATTAGCTGTTGAACTGTGACTTAGAGAAAGTTATTTGATATTTTATGAAAGGCTTTACAAATATGTATATCTGAATTTAATTAATATCATATAATATTATCTATAAAAATGTTTGATACTTTTTCCAAATATAATGGGATTTATGTTGTGTTTTCCAGGGTAATGAAGCTGCAAATGTCACTGGACCTAATGGCACCCCGGTCCAGGGCAGCAAATATGCTGCTGACCGCCGCCGTTACCGTCGTCAGTGGTACCCCCAGAGACGAAACCAAGATGGTGTAAGTAGTTGCTTTTGTTTACTAAATATTATATGTAAGTATAGTTGTTGTATGAAATACTTGTGAAATGATGAGTGATTCAGTGTTGGATTCCCCAGCAAGAATCTAATGATTGATGTAAAACACTCTGATCTAATCACATAGTCGCCTCCTGCTCTGATCTAAACTCAAGGTCGCCTTTCTTATTAGTTGCTGATTTTTAAAAACATATTATCATATATATATTATATTACTAAAAGTTACAAAGTCCTGTAAAATTAGATATTGACCAAAACACTAGTAAATTTTTAAGTTAGAAATGATGAGTGATTCAGTGTTGGATTCCCCAGCAAGAATCTAAATGATTGATGTTGAACACTCTGATCTAAACACAAGATTGTCTTCCTGTTAGTTGCTGACTTTTTTCCTAAAAAATGTATTATTACTAAAACTTACAAAGCCCCGTAAAATTAGATTTTGACCAAAACACTAGTTAATTTTTAAGTTAGAAATGATGAGTGATTCAGTGTTGGATTCCCCAGCAAGAATCTAAATAATTGATGTTGAACACTCTGATCTAAACACAAGATTGTCTTCCTGTTAGTTGCTGACTTTTTTCCTAAAAAATGTATTATTACTAAAACTTACAAAGCCCCGTAAAATTAGATTTTGACCAAAACACTAGTTAATTTTCAAGTTAGAAATGATGAGTGATTCAGTGTTGGATTCCCCAGCAAGAATCTAAATGATTGATGTTGAACACTCTGATCTAACCACAAGATTGTCTTCCTGTTAGTTGCTGATTTTTTTCCTAAAAAATGTATTATTACTAAAACTTACAAAGCCCCGTAAAATTAGATTTTGACCAAAACACCACAATTTTTTAAGTTAGAAATGATGAGTGATTCAGTGTTGGATTCCCCAGCAAGAATCTAAATGATTGATGTTGAACACTCTGATCTAACCACAAGATTGTCTTCCTGTTAGTTGCTGATTTTTTCCCTAAAAAATGTATTATTACTAAAACTTACAAAGCCCCGTAAAATTAGATTTTGACCAAAACACTAGTTTATTTTTAAGTTAGAAATGATGATTGATTCAGTGTTGGATTCCCCAGCAAGAATCTAAATGATTGATGTTGAACACTCTGATCTGAACACAAGATTGTCTTCCTGTTAGTTGCTGACTTTTTTCCTAAAAAATGTATTATTACTAAAACTTACAAAGCCCCGTAAAATTAGATTTTGACCAAAACACTAGTTAATTTTTAAGTTAGAAATGATGAGTGATTCAGTGTTGGATTCCCCAGCAAGAATCTAAATGATTGATGTTGAACACTCTGATCTAAACACAAGATTGTCTTCCTGTTAGTTGCTGATTTTTTTCCTAAAAAATGTATTATTACTAAAACTTACAAAGCCCCGTAAAATTAGATTTTGACCAAAACACCACAATTTTTATGCCCCCATTTCGAAGAAAAGGGGGTATATTGCTTTGCACTTGTCGGTCCGTCGGTCCGTAGACCAAATGGTTTCCGAGTGATAACTAAAGAACCCTTAGGCCTAGGAACTTTAAACTAGGTATGGTGATTGGTCATGACCAGTAGATGACCCTTATTGATTTTGGGGTCAAGGGGTCAAAGGTCAAGGTCACATTGACCTTGTAAGCAAAAACGGTTTCCGATCAATAACTAAAGAACCTTAAGGCCTAGGAACTTCAAACTTGGTATGGTGATTGGTCATGATCAGTAGATGACCCCTATTGATTTTGGGGTCAAGGGGTCAAAGGTCAAGGTCACATTGACCTTGTAAGCAAAAACGGTTTCCGATCAATAACTAAAGAACTTTAAGGCCTAGGAACTTCAAACTTGGTATGGTGATTGGTCATGATCAGTAGATGACCCCTATTGATTTTGGGGTCAAGGGGTCAAAGGTCAAGGTCACATTGACCTTGTAAGCAAAAACGGTTTCCGATCAATAACTAAAGAACTTTAAGGCCTAGGAACTTCAAACTTGGTATGGTGATTGGTCATGATCAGTAGATGACCCCTATTGATTTTGGGGTCAAAGGTCAAGGTCACATTGACCTTGTAAGCAAAAATGGTTTCGATCAATAACTAAAGAACCTTAAGGCCTAGGAACTTCAAACTTGGTATGGGGATTGGTCATGATCAGTAGATGACCCCTATTGATTTTGGGGTCAAGGGGTCAAAGGTCAAGGTCACATTGACCTTGTAAGCAAAAACGGTTTCCGATCAATAACTAAAGAACTTTAAGGCCTAGGAACTTCAAACTTGGTATGGTGATTGGTCATGATCAGTAGATGACCCCTATTGATTTTGGGGTCAAGGGGTCAAAGGTCAAGGTCACATTGACCTCTTAGGTTAAAACGGTTTCCGATCAATAACTAAAGAACTTTAAGGCCTAGGAACTTCAAACTTGGTATGGTGATTGGTCATGATCAGTAGATGACCTCTATTGATTTTGGGGTCAAAGGTCAAGGTCACATTGACCTCTTTGGTAAAAACGGTTTCTGATCAATAACAAAAGAACCCTTAGGTCTAGGAACTTCAAACTTGGTATGGTGATTGGTTATGACCAGCAGATGACCCCTATTGATTTTGGGGTTAAGGGGTCAAAGGTCAAGGTCACATTGACCTTGTAGGTAAAAACAGTTTCCAATCAATAACTTAAGAACCCTTAGGCCTAGGAACTTCAAACTTGGTATGGTGATTGGTCATGACCAGCAGATGACCTATTGATTTTGGGGTCAAGGGGTCAAAGGTCAAGGTCACATTGACCTTGTAGGTAAAAACTGTTTCCGATCAATTAACTAAAAACGCTTAGGCCTAGGAACTTCAAACTTTGTATGATGATTGGTCGTGACCAGCAGATGACCCCTATTGAGTTTTGGGTCAAGGGGTCAAAGGTCAAGGTCACATTGACCTTGTAAGTAAAAACGGTTTCTGATCAATAACTTAAGAACGCTTAGGCCTAGGAACTTCAAACTTGGTATGGTGATTTGTCATGACCAGCAGATTACCGCTATTGATTTTGGGATCAAGGGGTAAAAGGTCAAGGTCACATTGACATTGTAAGTAAAAACGGTTTCTGATCAATAACTAAAGAACGCTTCAGCCTAGGAACTTCAAACTTGGCATGGTGATTGGTCATGAGCAGCAGATGACCCCTATTGATTTTGGGGTCAAAGGTCAAGGTCACATTGACCTTGTATGTAAAAACGGTTTCCGATCAATAACTAAAGAACCCTTAGGCCTAGGAACTTCAAACTTGGTATGGTGATTGGTCATGACCAGCAGATGACCTATTGATTTTGGGGTCAAGGGGTCAAAGGTCAAGGTCACATTGACCTTGTAGGTAAAAACAGTTTCTGATCAATTAACTAAAAACGCTTAGGCCTAGGAACTTCAAACTTTGTATGATGATTGGTTGTGACCAGCAGATGACCCCTATTGAGTTTTGGGTCAAGGGGTCAAAGGTTATGGTCATGACCAGTAGATACTTGATAACCCTTATTAATTGTTTGATCACTGGGTCAGAAGTCATGCATAATAACCTTATCACATGACTAATTGGCTGCTGATAGGGGGCATACATGTTTTACAAACATATCTTGTTTAAGTTAGAAATGATGAGTGATTCAGTGTTGGATTCCCCAGCAAGAATCTAAATGATTGATGTTGAACACTCTGATCTAAGAAGAAATAAAAGATAAGATCATATATGTGTAAGGCCTTAGAAATGTTAGTTTAGGATTGGGCAGACTGAAAGACTTTATAATAATAGTTCATATGATTTGAGTTTAGTAAGTTAGAACACAAATATAATAGACCTTAAATGAAGATTACCAGTTCTCTGCTTGAAACGAAATTGAAAATTTTGAAGATTGTATGTTATTGTGTTGACAATAGCAGGCATGGCTCAAGTAAATACAATTCAGTTTCAGTGTGAGAAAAACTCACACCCCAACTAGTAAAGTAGATCATTGAATAGAATGGAATATATAAAAACGATATAGTTCACATGTGCTTAATTTGATACTCCTAGAATAGAAATATTGGTCGATTTATTAACTTAAACTTAAAAGTTTGATTGATTTAGTCAATGTCATTAAATGTTTAGTGATTCAGTGTTGGATTCCCCTGCAAGAATCTAATGATTGATGTTAAACACTCTGATTTGATAAATTTGACTCTTTGGTTCTTTTTATTCTTACCTAAGTTCTTAGGACTTTTAGGACTTGGGTGTGTGTGTGTGTCCTGAGGACTTATTCTGTGCATATCTGTATTGTGAATGCTTTATTAGATCTTTTATATGTCTTGCAGGAGGGTGAAGGTGGTGAAGTAAGGGATGGTGGCGGTAACCGTCGTCCAAGGAGACCATACTATCGTAACTACTACCCCCGTGGTGGATTCAGAGGTGGCTACAGAGGACCACCCGGCCAGATGATGCAGGGAGGTATGTCCCATTAAAATTACTCTTACAGCTTTAGTCTGATTAGATACTTGGGGAATATGGAAAATGTGCGTTTTTTCCCCATCTTATCCCAGGGTACAAACATTTACGGTTATAACAAATATATCAATATTATAAATAGGCATAATGCTTTAATCACTTTTGAATTGTAGTGCACTGTTAAACTATATCAGTATATGTTTGTTTGTACCAGAAAATCCTGGTTTTGCCATGTTGTACTACCAGTATAGAGTCAAGTCAACCAGTGACAATACTCTACTGCTTAATGTTAGCATTTTAACCTCAAAACATAACTAGTGCTCATCTAGCAGGGTAAGGGTCAAAATTCATGAAAGGGCTCGAGTCTCGAAGAATAATATTAACAGAAATGATGAGTGTTTAAGTGTTGGATTCCTCAACTTGAATCTGATGATTGATTTTAAACACTCTGATCTAAACGTCATATGTTTGCGAATTAAAGGAATTGCTCCTTAATAGTTTCAAGGTTGTGATATGATTGAAAAAAGGTCCCTTTATGCCCTCAGTTCTTATGACCGTGGCCTGACTTGTACCAGAATCTTGTTTGAGTGGCCTGCTAAACTTAAACACTTCATCAAAATCAATTCTTAACAATCAACATGTTAGTCTTTAAACAGCTGATCAAATTTTGTTTTTTTTTTGTTTGTTTTTGCTTAGATTGTGTATTATCAATATGTAAACATTTTGTTATTTCGTAACATTTTTAGGGCCAATGGGACCACCTAACGCCAGGAGACCGTTCTATCGCCGTTTCTACCGTGGAGGACCTATGAGCGGTGGGTTCGGGTATGCACCAAGGGGTTACTATGGTCCACCAGGCGGTGGCATGTACAGGGGAAGAGGTCGTGGAAGGGGAGGGCGAGGACGTGGCCGTGGAAGGGGAGGATATAGACGCAGGGTAAGTTGACATGTTTGGTTAATTAAAGTTACGTGTAAATTGGCTATTCTAACACGACCCGCATTTTTCCCTATTGAACATAGAAGAACCGAAAGTGTGTGTTATTATGCAACAGTCACAGTTTGACGTTCTATATTTAGACATGTGACGTAATCATTGTACACGTGACGTTACCACCAAAAATCCAACGCGCTGAAAATAAGTACGGAAACAAATCAGGCGCAATTTTGCTTAATAACAGCAGGGTTGTCATTAAGAGGCGGCAGGAGGCCAAAATGCCTGTCTCAAATGCATTATGGGCCGCCTCAAAATTAAGAAAACACTCTTTGTTATGCATGATAAAGACAGAAATGACCGCCTCAAGTTCAAAACAAACCTTCTGCAAAAAATGTTAATGACAACCCTGAACAGGTACGGCAGCACATATTTGTTGATGTCGTGTTAAAATCAAAATAATATATCCAAATCGGTGATTTTATCGCTTGATAACATCACTGTTTGTCATTCGGATGTGCATCATTATATCACTCGGGCAGCGCCCTCGTGATATAATTCCTCGCATCCAAACTCCAAACAGTGATGTTATTGAGCGATAAAATCACTGTTTGGGATATATTATTTCTTAAATATAAATTAGAATTAATTCAGTGATCGGGTTACAAAATCAAGTTACATAGTCTGTAATGTGTTATAAAGGAATAAATTATTCCAGTATTTTATGGAAACTGGAATTTATCTGAATAATATATGTGATATTATAATTAATGGTTATTTTCCTAGTCATGTAGGTTGGTACATATAATGTAAGTTAAATTCTCTTGAGATGAAGCTAGCTAGTGTTTGTATTTTGGTTCCATATCTAATAGAGGCATACCAAAATGCTTCAAACTACCAGCAAACGAGATACATCTTTGAAGAGGGCCTTAATGATATAACTAGTAAACCAACTTTGAAAAATTTAAAGATATTTGTAGTGGTTGAAGTTTATTGCAACGTAATTTGATGTCTCTTTTTTTAGGACGAAAATGGAGACAACAGGAACGAGAACTCCGATGTCCATGACTCTGGTGCCGAGGACAAGGGTGAATAAGCCAGATACCAACAACATGTACAATGCCTGGTACCATCTGGATATTTTAACAGCTGGGCACCAACCTTAAAAAAAAAGACTTAAATTGTACATGGAATTCTATATATATATATATATATATTTGTGTCAAACATCAAAAATACGAGCCAATCTTTTGATGGAATCAATTTAAATTTTGAGGTAAACAATAATGTCATAATGAAATGAGATTTTAGATAGAGAGAAGCTTGTATTTTGAATATTATGTGGATTTTTGAACTAAATGTTTATTCATATTAGCGGTGGTACGTAAATATTAGAAATTGCACACATGTCAATTATTTTGTAAACATCGGATAATAATTATTGAAGATATTAGCCCCAAAATGTTTCCTTGGAGACTATGTATTGGTTAAAAACCTCAGCACATGGAAACATTTTGGTGTACTATGCAGTAGATATTTGTAAGTTTTCTTGGATGAAAGCATAATAAATTTAACTTACAACGTTAACAAAGAGAAACAGAACATGAATGTCTATTGCATAGAATAAAAAAATTAAATGTTGTTTGGTTACCTGTCATTGCAAAGGGGCGGGTACCTGCAACAGGATAGGTTGTATTGAGAAAATGTTGAAGTTCATAGTTTGCTTTGTACAACAGTATAGTGCTATGTAAATGTATCGTAAAAATTCTTAACCATACTCTCTTTTTTTTTCTCAATACAACTTGAACAATTTGAAAAATGAGTACACTTTTTGTCACGTTTCAAAAGACCGAATCGTTCTTGTACGGGTCACCAATGTTACAAGACATAGACAAAATTATAGCCACAATAATATGAAAAAAACTATCTTCGTGTACCATTTTTCAAATTAACCGGATTTCTCTTGCGGAAACCAGACATTTGGAATATAATTCCGGTGTTGAAATGGTATCAGTATTTTCCGTAAGAGGAATTTGGGCAACTTTGTGTCAACTTTGTTTACAAAACACCTTGGGAAACTGCTCCACCTGTGAAAACATGGAACAAAAGATAAATGCCCCAAACTTTTGGAAAAGAATGTCAGAATTTCCAAAACTTTTCAAACTTACATAGGGTGCAAAATTAATGAGCAGGATTTTCCCAATAAAGGCGGGCCGCTTTACAAAATGTATTTTTTTTTAACCTTTTTGTGTGAGGAAGAAGAACTTAGCACCACATCTATTTCAAATTGAATTATAATGATTATATATGTATCAAATAAAACCATTTTGCGGCTATAAATAAATGGCTATTATTTCAGCCAATGAGATTATCAAAAATAAATTTTTGAATACCAAAAAAAAAAATGGAAAAAAGTAGATTTGGTGTTAAAACATGCTTGTATCCATCTTTCTAGTAGTCAATGAACAAAAGCATCAAACCTGTTCTGGTCTGTACAGTTCCATTGTGTACTTGCATTGCTTAACTTGATTCAAAATTGTAAAAATGTACAGTCTTGTTTGTACAATTTTTGTTTGAATTGTAAAAAAAATGTTTAGCATTGTAAGTACATAATTTTTCTTGTACAGGCAATTGCATATTTTCAAATGTTATGGGTGAATGTTATGAACAAATAGCCCAAAGTACAAAGAAATTTTAAGATGCAAGAAACTGTATAACAACGGGACAGTGTTTGGACAATAAAAAAAGCATGAATGCATTTCTGTGTTATTTTGTATTTTACTATTTGAAATTTATATTGTGTATGAAATTAAGAAGTTATTGAAATTAAGCGTTTTGGACCTGTAATAAAGAAGCTGGCTAGGTATAGTTTCCCCCACCTTTTTGAAGGAAAAAGGGCCTTGGGGGATATAGAAATAGGGTCCGTTTCCTCACATTTTTTGTGTCGAGGCCATAACTATATCATTTATCAAAGGAATTTGAAATATTTTGGCACAAATGTTGTTGAAATAAGACGATGTGTCATGCGCAACAACCAGACCCCTACCTCCAGGGTCAAGGTCGCACTTGCTCATTCAACGTCAACCTAGTCTATTTGAGCCCGAGGGTAATATGTCGTGTCCGGTCCATAATGTTCTTATCTTTGAAGGGATTTTGTAAATACTTGCCACAATTGTTCACAATAATAAGCCGATGTGTCATGCGCAACAACCGGTCACCTACCGTCAAGGTCACACTTGGAGGTCAAAGATTAACATAGTCTGTTATAGGGTATATTTTGTGTCCGGTTCATAACTTTTTCATAGATTAAAGGATTTTGAAAATAGTTGGCACAAATAGTCACTATAATAAGGCAATGTGTCATGCGCAACATCTGCATTTCTACCACCAAGGTCAAGGTCACACTTAAAGGTCAAAAAATTAACATAGCCTGTTATATGGTATATTTTGTGTCCGATATAGAACTTCTTCATAGGTCAAGGGATTTTAAAATAACTTGGCACAAATAGTCACAATAATAAGACAATATGTCAAGTTCAATACCTGCACCCCTACCTCCAAGGTCAAGGCCACACTTAGAGGTCAAAGATTTACATAGTCTGCTATAGGGTATATTTTGTGTCCAGTCAATAACTTTTTCATAGATCAAGAGATTTTAAAAAATACTTCGCACAAATAATAACAATAATAAGACGATATGTCGGGCGCAAATCATGGGTCCCTACCTCCAAGGTCACTCTTAGAGGTCAAAGATTAACATAGTCTGTTATAGGGTATATTTTGTGTCTGATCTGTAAATTCTTATAGTTAAAGGGATTTTGAAAATACTTGTCACAAATAGTTACAATAATAAGACGATATGTCATGCACAACACCTGCACCCTTACCTCCTTTTGTCATCACTCTGCGTCCGTAGTGCGTCGTGCGTCCTTTAAAAAATGGCGTCAAACTTTTCAAGCAACATCTCCTAAACCACATGGCCAATTGCAACCAAACTTTACAGAAATGATCCTTAGGTGGACCTCTTTCAAAGTTGTTCAAAAATTTAAATTCCATTAAAAACTCTGGTTGCCATGGCAACCAATAGGAGGAACTTAAAAAATCTTCTTTTAAAAAACCCTAAGAGCTAGAGCTTAGATATTTGGCATGAAACATCTTCTAATGAGTGTCTACCAAGTTTGTTCAAATAAAAGCCCTAGGGTCAAAATTGGCCCCGCCCCAGGGGGTCATTGATTTTCCCTATATGCATATAGTAAAAACTTAAAAAATCTTCTTTCAAAGAACCAAAAGAGCTACAGCTAAGATATTTAGCATGAAACATTTTCAAATGGGTGTCTACCAAGTTTGTTCAAATAAAAACCCTGGGGTCAAAATTGGCCCCGCCCCAGGGGGTCTTTGATTTTCCCTATATGCATATAGTAAAAACTTGAAAATCTTCTTTGAAAAAACCCAAATAGCTAAAGTTTAGATATAAAGCATGAAACATCTGCTAGTGAGTGTCTACCAAGTTTGTTCAAATAAAAGCCCTTGGGTCAAAATTGGCCCCGCCCCAGGGGGTCTTTGATTTTCCCTATATGCATATAGTAAAAACTTAAAAATCTTCTTTTAAAGAACCCAAAGAGCTAGAGCTAAGATATTTAGCATGAAACATCTTCTAGTGAGTGTCTACCAAGTTTGTTTACATAAAAGCCCTAGGGTCAAAATTGGCACGCCCGAGGGGGTCATTGATTTTCCCTATATGCATATAGTAAAAACTTAAAAAAATCTTCTTTCAAAGAACCAAAAGAGCTAGAGCTAAGATATTTAGCATGAAACATTTTCAAATGGGTGTCTACCAAGTTTGTTCAAATAAAAGCCCTGGGGTCAAAATTGGCCCCGTCCCAGGGGGTCATTGAATTTCCTTATATGTGTATAGCAAACACCTAAAAAAATCTTCTTTGAAAAAACCCAAATAGCTGGAGTTTAGATATTAAGCATGAAACATCTTCTAGTGAGTGTCTACCAAGTTTGTTCAAATAAAAGCCATAGGGTCAAAATTGGCCCCACCCCAGGGGGTCATTGATTTTCCCTATATGCATATAGTAAAAACTTAAAAAATCTTCTTCTAAAGAACTCAAAGAGTTAGAGCCAAGATATTTAGCATGAAACATGTTCTAATGGGTGTCTACCAAGTTTGTTCAAATAAAAGCCCTGGGGTCAAAATTGGCCCTGCCCCGGGGGTCATTGATTTTCCTTATATGTGTATAGCAAAAACTTAAAAAAATCTTTTTTCAAAAACCCAAATCGCTGGAGTTTAGATATTAAGCATGAAACATCTTCTAGAGAGTGTCTACAAAGTTTGTTCAAATAAAAGCCCTGGGGTCAAAATTGGCCCCGCCATGGGTGTCATTGATTTTCTATATATGTGTATAGCAAAAACTTAAAAATCTTCTTTGAAAAAACCCATATAGCTAGAGTTTAGATATTAAGCATGAAACATCTTCTAGTAAGTGTCTACAAAGTTTGTTCAAATAAAAGCCCTGGGGTCAAAATTGGCCCCGCCCCAGGGGTGTCATTAATTTTAACTATATGTGTATAGTAAAAACTTAAAAATCTTCTTTTAAAAAACCCAATGAGCTAGAGCTTAGATGTTTAGCATGAAACATCTTCTTATTGGTGTCTACTAAGTTTGTTCAAATAAAAGCCCCTGGATTAAAATTGGCCCTGACGGGGGGGGGGGGGAGTAGATCATTGTTTTTAGCTCACCTTGCACAAAGTGCAGGTGAGCTTTTAGGATGGCCAACCAAATGGCGTCCGGTGTCCGTCCACATTTTATTCAGACGACATCTTCTACAATACCACTTGGCCAATTTTAATGAAACTTGGCAGGAATACTCATTGTATGAAGCTCTATCAAGATTGTTCAAAGAATGCCATTCCATGCTAAACTCTGGTTGCTATGGCAACTAAAAGAAAAAACTTAAAAGTTCTTATACTTCAAAATGGAAAGGGCTAGAGCTTAGATATTTCTCCCAAGACATTAGCTTGTTACAAAGTATATTCAAATTATGGTCTAAAGCTGAAAATTGGTCTCTATTTTGGGAGTTAAAGGGTTTTTTATTGCAAGGTCATATAGACTTTCTTTGTAGGGATAAATTGAGACAGTGTATCTTGTATTATTTGTCTCAACAAACATTGTTATGAAGATGTTTCTTTTAAAGCATAAGAAGGATGAAAAGTTTGTTGAATGTGAATGTTAATTCAAAACAGAGTCGATCAGAATAGCACAAATTTGAGAGCTACAGTGAAGTTGATTTCCCCATTCAATAATGGATTTTTCCATTAATTTCGTAATATCATCAGAAAGGAAGACTGTGTCATTTCCGAAATACAATTGTAAAATATTTCGGTTCTTGACAATGACTGGCACATTTTATTGTGTATGAAATTGCACAAAGAAACGAAAGTGAACAAAAAATGTTGTTTTTTCCACAAAAATTAGTTGATTAAGATAAAAGTTTAATTTACATTACGGATATTACATTTTTTATCCTTCCGGTTTGCGGGTAAAATCATATAGCAGCTAGCAACACCGCACCTACTGATGAACGAATTATGTCATAATATTTCATTCTGAGAACAAACATACGATTCGAATCATCAAATAATGCATATCAAATCAAATCAAACCAACAATTTTGCCTCAGAAAACATCTGTATCAATCTGACCTTGAGTTGAGATTATAAATTATACTAAACCGGAAGTACATGACGAAACGTCCGCCAATAAAGAAAATTGAGAAATTTTGTAACATAAACTCGTATTTCACAACAAAGAAGTGAAGATGAATGCAATTATCGGTGTGCTTCGTTGAAACAGGTATTTTGTTAACTATTTGTTAAGTATTAAGGCATGACATTCTGTATTTATGTAAATATCACCTCCCGACGTCCCGTGTTATGATTTATAAAATTATACATGTACACATGTGTTATTGACCTCAATAAATGTTAGTGAAAATGGAAAAATAATTATGGTAATTATCCATGGTGCTAGTAATACTTATTATCTTTATCATTTTGTTAACTAAGCAAGAAAAATACGTAATTTTAAAATAACTTAACCTCACAATATTATCAATTTATACTTGAAAATCTTCTCAAACAGTAATTTTTGAATTCATTATTGAAACATGAAAATGGTTCATGAAGAGATTAAAAGAGAGGAAAAAACTGAAATGACTCATGAAAATTTTGGTCAAACAGTTTGCCACGTGAAATTTTTACCTTCCTGAGATCACTGCTAATTGTTGTTGTTGTTCTTTTTTTTTTTAGAAAGGGTGTTCTAAATTATGATAAACCACAGCACTTACGAACTTTCGCTATATGTATATGCAGTATTTCAATAGAGCGGAAGTCAGTGCGCGAGCATGCGCTTTGCCATGTCTCGATCAGTTACCGGTCACGTGCCATGAAGCGACACTTAGTGTACACGACTTTTACAACTAAAATATCAGACTAACACATTAAAACAATACACATAAACTACACATAGTTGTTTTCCCATATTAATATTTTGCATTTGCAACAGACAGTCAAACAAATATCTCAATATTCTTACCGATTTAATGTATTGTTTACATGTGATGACAGCAGCGCTGTGTGTTAGATTACTTTCGGTTCAGAAAATTCATTTGTTTACCATCAAAACTCGTATGTTTACCATAGGAACCATATATAGATAGAAAGCAAATTATACAAAGGTAAGGAAAAAATTGT